CCCTCCTCCACCAACGAGGCGGCGTTGGGCGCATTCCACCCGCGGTTAGCCCGCCCCGCACCGTCGCCGCGTCCGCCACCTTCTAGCTTTTTATACTGAACTTCTTTATCTTCTAAGCTCTATCGATCTGTGATTCCTGTCTCTCAGTGCCTCGTAGACTACGGCCCGCCCCGCTCCGGGGAGCCGCTCGTTTCGTCGTTATAAACGTGGTTGTTTGAGATTTTATGGAGAATAATAATATCTGTGAAGCAATAAAATGCATGAAACACTCGTGCTAGTTTTATTATCGTAGAACCATAAAAGTTTTCATTTACCTTTTCCAAAAGCTATTAGAACTCATCGAGAAAATATGCTCCTTGTGTCTTAACAATGCTTCTCAATTTAGTTTAAGAACCGATTTACTTCTTTTTTCTTCTCTATACGCTTTCGCTAAAGAAAAGGAGAGAAGAGTAGTTGCGGCCCCTAATACTACTGACTTTACTGAATATTGAAAAGTTTACCAAACTCAATAAACAAAAAGTGTAACCGAAGACAAGTAAAATTAATTTTCCTATCAACATAAATTCGTTGATTGTTAGTTGTCAATTCATTTTGATTGATCAGGGTTTTAATTTATGCAAACATCTAACAAAAGAGAATGAGATATTTTAATTAATGTAAATAGTATTAATAATGAATGGAGTGAATATTTTGATCTATTTGATTAACAAAGTTTGTATACTTGTACAGTTATTTCGATATTCTGTGTTCAAGTCTGAATAAATTATTATCACTAACACTCTGTTAACTTTACTTACTATTATTGTAAAGTATATTTATATGAAGTATGATTTGTTTTTTATTAAAAATGTAATCACAACCTCCTGTATGACGTCACATCTCATTAAAACGTTACCAGGTAGCTAAAACAAGTAACAAAAAACTGGATACGAATCCAAACTTAGTAATCTTATTAATATTATAAATGTGAAAGTTTAGATGGATGTATGTATGTATGGACGTTTGTTAGAGCTACCTACACTGCTGAACGAATCTTGATGAAATTATATGTAGAGGATAGTCTGGAAGATCACTTAGGCTTCTCACTTGTATTTTTTTTTAATTTACGCGGTCGGAGTCGCAGTCGAAATTTAGTCTTTAATATAAATAAAAATCTTTGTCAAAAAATATCAAACTAACCCGGTATTCCCTCGTTTAGTAAACCGGGCGCTGAAATATTTACTTTGATGCTACACGGAATAGGTAAACGTTAGTTTTTTGTTTTTTATCGGTTCAATTTAAACAAAGCTCTGTAATAGGATACGAGGTATTTTTTCTTGTTTCGAAATATTTTAATTGAGTTAATGTCTGGCTTTGTCGTGTGCCAGTATTTTTTTTATAATAATAATAAAAATAAAAAAGTAGCTTTACTAAAACATTTTAATCTTTACTGTCGTACTCAGAGACGCTAAGATTCCCTGTAATGCTATTTTGGCACGAGAATCAAATGTAAGTCATTTAATTCTGTAGGAACATGCGAACTCGATCAATCGAATATTGTACTCCGGTTCCGCAAATTGTATTTTTTAGACTAAATATGTAATCTTTTTTAATAGATATGATCCGTTTAAATTTGTCTGTCATTAGCGCAGGATTTATTCTAGAGCCTTTTGGATCAACACACGGCACGTTCCTAGCACATACTTTAATACGGAATAAATTACATAGGATGTTATGGGATTAGATAACATTTCAGTATAGGGAGGATATTTCTTGAAACTGCTGACAGCACTATCCTACACTTTATGTTTTACTAGCTTTCGCCCGCGGGTCTGTCCGCACGGAATAAAAAAAACATAATAAGTAGCCTATGTGTTCGAGACTATCCTCTACATCTATGCCAAATTTCATCGAGATTCGTTTAAACGTTTTATCTAAACTTTTGCATTTACATTATTAATAAAAAAAAATGTTAAGTGAGATAGAAAACTGTATCTTGCTACAAGTGTCAAAGTCTTTAAAAGTGCCTTTGTCGGCATAAAACTATTATAAAAGTTTCTTTTTAACAGACATACAATTTTCCTTTGTACAATGTTGTTTAAGCTCTTTTATAAAGTTCGCCGGCTTTTATTTATTCACGACTTATTGAATTATATTAAAACCGTATTTAACTTATACAAGTTAAACATATTCATTATTTTCATTTATATACAACTAGCTTTTCCCCGCGACTCCGTCCGCGTGAAATTGAACTGCAACTTAACACAACTACCTAACTTCCAGACTACCCTCTACATCTACACCAAATTTCATCAAGATCCGTTCAGCCGTTTAGGCTACAAAGTCTAAAAAACATTCATCCATTTATCTAAACTTTCGCATTTATAATATTAGTATGATATCTATAACAATATTTTGGTATTACACATACTAGTTAAATAATAAATCGAGATGTTCTTAATTAAACTGTGAAGACATTCTTCTTTCATTTTTTCTCGGAATGAAATGTTTAGATAATATTTTAAAATATAATCCTCTTTTTCTTTCATAATGATTAAAACATGGGAGGGGGGTGACAGCACGACTGACTAACTTCGTAAATCCCGACAAAATACAGCTACAAAATGTCTGCACAACTTTCCGCGAACAAAGTTTGTTGAATTGTTGTATTTGTCTTTGGAACATTTATTCAATTATACATAATTATTTATTATAAACGAGTTAAAACCTAATCTTTTTATGTAATAACTAGCTTTCGCTCGTTACAAATCATGGTTATTTAAACATGAACAGACTTGGTAAATTAACTAACAAATTGAAATTGAAATTGAAATTTATTAAAAACAGATTAATAATTAACAATAAAGTTATAACCAATTAAAAGATAAATACAAATAGTGATAAATGTGATTGATCTGGTGATGCCCACACTAGGCAATGCCTGTATCGTGGGCATCGAAACACCGGGAAAAATATTTTTATACAATAATAATTAAAAACCTACGCTTACGGCGTTTCGGTATTATAATGAATTTATGAAAGAAAAATAAATATGCAAGATGATATATGATATATGAAATAATAAAACACTTATACTAAAAGCAGTGTGTAATACAAATATATGACGAAACATATAACCACGTTTTTTAACTAAATAGTGTCTATATTTTTTTGGGGTAATACAATATTTGTTAGTAAGTACACAATTTTCTACTGGGCAATATAAATGTAAAATGCAGCGGTAGAGAATGTTACCGCTGTTGGGCAACAAAGTCTTCTGCATATTGCTACGAGCAGAGCTAGAGCTACGCATGCGTGCCCCCACCAGTATGAGACACGCACGGCCAGGGGGAAGCGTAGACGCGTAGACAGAACCCGCATTATTCGACAATTTGTCGCGACGTCGATATCCCGTACAACTAAACTACAACTATCTCAGAGACTTTTGACTAGTACATTTTTATATTATAAAAGAGGGCAAACGAGTTGCGAGAACACCGAGGTAATCAACGACCCCCATGGACATCCGCAAAACTAGAGGAACTATAGATGCGTTGCCGGCCTTTGAGGAAATTGTAGGTTCGCTTCGCGTTTGGAAATACCTCCTAAGACAGACCGTTCCACAACGCGGCTATGCGAGTCAGAAAGTTCCGTGAAAACCGCACGCATAAAATTCATACAAATTTATTCTTATAACGAAGTCTAGCCATCTCAGAGTTGTTACTTAAGTCGGATGTGCTAGATGATGGAACTATGTTAATCTCATTTGCATATGTTTATTCAAGTAATTGCATACTAATACATATTCAGGTATATCGCATTTCAAATTATTGATAGAATATTAAAATGTAAATTATATTCAACAAACTAACCGCAATGCTCATTATCATGTTCAATTTGTGTTGAGGTTAATAATTAATTAAATATCAAAATATTGTTGCATTTATTATATAACGAGCTGTTGCCCGCGACTTTGTCCGCGTGGTATTAGAAAACATACGAACTATATAAATTACAAAAAGCTACATATCCCTCGGGAACGGGACATTTCTCGGGAATGAAGCATATCCCATGTGTACTCCAGACTTTGTTTTATATCTGTGCCAAATTTCAATAAGATATGTAAACATTAAAAAAACTAAATTAATGAATCCCACGGAAACCGTAACTATTCCCGGGATAAAAAGTAGCCTATGTGTTCTTTCAGACTATGCTCTAAACCTGTGACAAATTTCATGGAGATCCGTTCAGCCGTTTAGGCTACAAACGCTCACAAACATCCATCTATCCATCCATCTAAACTTTCGCATTTATAATATTAGTAAGATTGCGCGATGTAATTCCAAAGGTCGGTTCTTGTTCGAAGAATTAACTAACGCATGTTGTTTTTAGGGAGTGTCTGCCATTTTTTCTAGACTTTTTACTTTCATTGATCATCTCATTTTCTTACGAACATTGATAATAGTTTCTGTATATCAAGAGACTATCATTATCTATGCAACTACGCTCGAAGCAAATAAACTAGAATAAAACTCCTCTACTTCCGTGTAATTAACTATAAATTTTATATCATTTAATAGGTGAATTTATTACCTTTCGATTAATATGTTATAACCTATAGATTAATTAAATAGGAACTACAATATTCCGAATAAAGCGAGGTGAAGTGATCTCAGTTTTTTGATGAAGCGTTTAGATAATGTCAACAATGCCACTGGGCACAATACCAACTGACGTTTACATCGTAAATCCTAAGTACATGGGTTACGTAATTGCTTCAACATTATGAAGGAAGTCGTAAAAAGTCTCTTAATGTCGGTTTGATAACCTTTGGTCAAATTAGTTGATACGTGTTCCGTAAGTTAGAGCTTTACGACTGCCGCACGCCGCGCAGTAAAGGTGTTTGGGTCAGCGAAATGTTTTATGACGTCATATTGATATATAATAATGCATTTTTATTTCCTCCATTTGTTGGTATAAAAAATAACATGCAAACATTAAAACGAAATGACAACTTGCTTTTGTTTTTTAATCTGTAAACTACATTTTTTATTATTAGTCTGTGGTAGGTCAGTCTATATTGATGTTAGCAATGGCCACCGACAAATACAAATTGAAAAATATAATAAAAAGTAAAATTTGATTTGAGGCGAAAAACAAAAGGTGTCACATAAAGAAAGTAACAACGTAAAAATGTAAGCTCTATAATAAATTGTATATTTTGTTTTAAAGCATAAATAAAAAAGTTATACAAAAAGATGGTACTAGTTTACAATTATTCAGTAGTTTTATAAATAATATATGGTATTTATCAATAACATTTCATCAACACGTTTGACAACACAACCTTGTAATAATATCTAAGAGCTACCGTTACTCGAGCAGTAATTGCAAGTGAAAGTGCTCCAGTTGTCGTATTAAATTGTACTATAGCCATGTTTCATTACTCAGATCACCAACTCCGATAGCCGTGATCGTCTAGTGGTTAGGACCCTACGTTGTGGCCGTAGTAACCCAGGTTCGAATCCTGGTCACGGCAGCGTACAGCTGTCGCGGCGGAGTTAATATTTTTGCAATTTTGCGAAAAATTTCGTGTCGGACTGTAGCTTTTTTATCGTTTTATTTTTTGTCTCATAGATATTATGTATCCTGTCAACCTATAAATGTATTTAAAAATAGAACATAACTCTCACGAAAAACAATCACGTAAAGTACTTTTACATGAACCTTTTACATTTTTTTCTAGCGGACTGTACCTGTTCACTAAATTAATTAAGGA